GCATCCCGAGTTAAGATAATTTCGAAAAATTTACTCTGATAAGCGGGGTGTTACACCAACCCCAGCAGCGTATCCGCGTGAGCCCTCCTCCGCCACGCAGCAGCAAGCCGCGACCCGAGCTCTCCTCTTACGACTTAGTGCCATCGTGAACCACCGCAGACGATCGCCGCGAAGACCTTGGCCGGCGTCCAGTCCCGTCGGGCTGCAGTTCGAGGTCCCATTCGAGCCCCATTCAGCCAATGTTGTCCTTTCTTTCCGGCGAGACGTGTGTAGTCGTCGAGCTCGTGGTCCCGTCGAGCCCCGTTCGTTCCTCTCGTCCCGTTTTTCTGAGCTTTTCCCGAGAATGGTACCGAGGCGCGAATTCCCTTCCGTTACTTACTTGTTTATTAGTTGAATTTATCATGTTCTATTGTTAAACATTGATGCTCATAGATGATTCTAGACTTGAATTAAAGAAATTATTTAGTACTATCTAGTAACTACTTAGCCTACAAATTTGACTATTCTACTTTTATAAAATAAAGAAAGACGATTAAGGAAGAAGAATGTAGAAGCTTGTAGACAATTTTTATCTCCTATAAATATGTGTGCATGATGTATTTGTAAAGTCATGAAAAACAAGATTCAATACATTAGTTAACTATTGTCTTCCACTATTTTCATTATATACGTTTTTCTTGAATCTTTAGTAAACTCAATAGTAGTATATCAATCTCTCCTCATATCAATATTATTTTATAAATATCCCAGATACCAACAGTGGTATTAGAGCCCGATTGGATCAATAGTTGGGCGACATTATTTCCAATATCCTCATATTTTCACATACTTTGTCCAAATACCCTACTTTCACATATCCTCCTATTTTCATATTCCTACTTTCATATAACCTACTAAATTTCTAAAATGGTCACTTCCCAAAATACCCATCAAATACCAATTTCTATTTTTTCCGGTGAAAATTATAACTATTGAGCCATTAAAATGAGAACATACTTTATGTCTCAAGGCTTATGGAATATTGTCGAGAACGGGTATACTATCTCCAATGACTTATCCACTTTGTCTACAAGGGACAATGAAAAATTCGACCGGGAGAAGGAGAAAGATAGTCTGGCCCTCTTCACATTACAAATGGCTGTGGCGAAGTCTCTATTCCCAAGAATCTGCGGAGCACAAACTTCAAAAGAGGTTTGGGATACACTAAAGGAAGAATATGAAGGAAATGACAAGGTACGTCATCTAAAACTACACACACTAAGGAGAGATTTAGAAAATATAAAAATGAAAGAGTCTGAGACCGTACAAGATTACTACACTCGATTAAGAGATGTAGTAAATCAACTAAAAGCACATGGAGAAAATATCACTGACAAAAGGGTGGTAGAAAAAATTCTGTTTACTTTTACCAGCCAAATATGATCCTATTGTCACGACGACAGAAGAAACTAAAGATTTGGATAAATTGTCAGTGACAGAATTAATAGGTTCACTTGAAACCTATGAGAAAAGACTAAGTATGCGTGAAAATGATATAGTCGAAAAATGCATTTCAGTCAAGAATAAATTTACGGTCTCAGAATTCTAAAATTGGGGGGAGAAAATTTAGAGAAAATAACAAAAATTAAATATGGTATGATACACCATGTGAAATTTGCAATAAAAATAATCACAAAGAAGAAGAATGTTGGTTTCAAGAGAAAAATCATTGCAAAAATTGTCAAAAATATGGCCATGTCGAGGAAAACTGTTGGGGCAGAAGACAAAATCAATGAGTCAATTTTTCAAAAGAGACTGAACCAGAAGAATTATTATTCTATGCTTCCAACGGTACAATAAGAGACAAAAGAAGCATTTTGTACTTGGACAGCGGCTGTAGTAATCATATGACATTCGATGAAAGTATCTTTTGCAATATTGAAAGATTCAGTTCAAAAGTCAAAGATTGGAAACGACAACTACATGGAAGCAACGGGAAAAGGAACTGTCGTCATTGACACAAGAAAAGGGATAAAATACATCAAAGATGACCTATTAGTTCCAGCAATTGATCAAAATCTACTAAGTGTCGGCGAAATGTTGAAAAAAGGCTACAACTTGCATTTCGGAGGAGAATCATGCATCATTTATGATAAGAACAATAAAGTAATTGCAAAAATCATAATGGGGGAGAATCAGTGTTTTACAATGGAATTTCAATACCCAACACAAATTACCAAATCAAGTGTGAATAATCAAGGAGAAGACGCCAAGAAGAGAAATACGGAGTCCCAAAATCAAGTCATCAGGAAAAGCAAGCTTACACAGTCATCAAAAAACAAGTTTCAAAACCACCAGAAGAAAAGTCAGAGTTCTATAGAATGTGCAATCGAGCGATTGTCGAGCCAATAAATACAAGAAATAACACTACAAGAAGAATTCAAAGACAAGGCGTACAAAATCGCTACATACATGGACAACCAAATAAAGCTCAAGTACATCATCACAGAAAATGAACTAGCGGATATCTTTATGAAAGCACCACTGCGGTCAAAATGCGAGGCACTACGTTGACCTTGATATTATCCAAATGAACATCAAGGGGGAGTGTTAAACATTAATGCTCATAGATGATTCTAGACTTGAATTAAAGAAATTATTTAGTACTATCTAGTAACTACTTAGCCTACAAATTTGACTATTCTACTTTTATAAAATAAAGAAAGACGATTAAGGAAGAAGAATGTAAAAGATTGTAGACAATTTTTATCTCCTATAAATACGTGTGCATGATGTATTTGTAAAGTCATGAAAAACAAGATTCAATACATTAGTTAACTATTGTCTTCCACTATTTCCATTATACACGTTTTTCTTGAAGCTTTAGTAAACACAATAGTAGTATATGAATCTCTCCTCATATCTACATTATTTTATAAATATCCCAGATACCAACATCTATGAATATATATATATATATATATATATATATATATGGCCTGTGAGTTTATGTGTTATTCGTGAGTTCATGTTATGCGTTTTGTGAACAAATATATGAACTTTATTATCAATTGATTATGTATTAATCATTTCAGTTCGTGCGAACTCGAACGAGATCATGTATACTCGTGTTAAGTTACTGTAGGAGTTGGAACAACGTGTTCTTGGTCTTAAGTGAAGGTCCCGGAACAAATTTGAGTCTTGTTGAGTCGTGCTTGAATTAATTACCTCGTATGCTCGCTGTTTTGGTGTTCGAATTTTTAAAAATTGTATACTGGTCGGAATGCTATGAAATTTTAACTGTATCTACCCTGTTGATATTATAGCTTATGTAAAATGTTCATAATTTTTCACAGACTGTAACTATTTTTAAAAATTAAAGGGATTTCTGGGCAGAAACGTGTTTAATTCATAATAAATTGGTCCGTGCTCCAAAATTTATGAAATTTTATTATGTTGTCCCAATACCTGATTTATTCCTTGTGTAAATTTGTAAAATTTTGGACTTATATTGGTAGGATAAATAATTATTTTCGTTTTCTGCTGATATATGTTTTAATTATGATAAATTGATTAATGGCTGGAAAATTCTGATTTTTTACCGCGATGCTTATTTTATGTGTACTTGCATGCTCCAAAAATATTGGAATTTTTGGAGTTGGGATTGCTTCAGTTGTAATTAAAATTCGATAAACTGCTGAATCTTGTATGATTTCATAATTTGTGTATTTGATCTTAATTGCTGGAATTTTTGTACGTTGATCCTTAATTGCTGAACTTGCTCCAGTAAAAATCTCATGTGCGAATTTGTTTGTTACGTCGGACTTTGAATTTTATGCTCGTTTTTGCTGATATCATATTTGAATTTTATAAAAGCATGTACTTTGAATTTGAGGCTGAAACTTGGTGGTAATTATTCTAAGTAATGGGAGGTGTATTTTTGGTTAAAATTTGAGAGTCCAACTCATAGGGCAACTAGATCAACTTAATTTTGTGATTTGGCTAATAAATTAGAAATATGATTTTTGAGTTAAAAGCTATAAATTGGCTCGCTTTCCGTTTCTTGTTTGTTTGACTTGGTCAATCTTTAGTTTGACTTATGTGAACTCCGATGTATGTTTTGGTTGAGTGTAGTGTCGAGTCTAAGTGTTCCAACGTCCACAGGACTTCACGAATAACTTAGTCGAATCAAGTTCGCCTAAGTGTGATTTGTGTTTCTCCGACTAAATTGAGATAGATATTGATTACAGGAATCTTGTCTTAATGTAGGTGCTTGAGGAGCTAAGCCTCAACCTATGTCCTTTCTGATTTTGCTATCGTCAATCCAGTATCCAGGTGGATTTACTTACTAAAAACTTTCTATGTCGTATATGTGTTTCATTTATGTCGGGTTGGTATGATCTAAGTATGCATGTAAGCCATATAGCCTATCAGCGTGAGCCGATTTTGACTTCGGTACAGTTTTCCCCGTCGATGTAATACGGTTACCCTTGCGAGGTAAGTCTCCTTAAGACCTAATGAAAGGTCGTGTCCGTAAGATGGCACGTATCCCCACGAGTTAGGGTAATGAATCCTCTTTTCGTGGCTAATGAAAGGTGTGTGCACATGGGTAGTATGTTACGTTATGTTGTGAAATGGAGATGTGACAAGTAATTGATTTATATTCATACTGCGACAATACTTTCTTGACATTATTATTGTGGTATACGTGCATAGTGGTGAGCGCTACATTTCCATTTGTGCTCATCCCCACCTGCTCTTCGTGGATGCAGGTTAAGGCAGGATGGTGTGCATGACAATTGAGGGGCGAGTGGGTCGGTTATGTGTTTAATTTATTTATGCTTCCTTTGATTAAATGTGGCCATCTTGAACTTCTTTGTGATTTAGACATGTGGAAACAACTTTTCAAAAGCTATGTTATGTTTTGATGTTTTGGGATACTTTGGAAAACCTTTTTATTGTTTTCGGAATAATCATGATGTTTGGTTATGAAATTTGGTTATCCTTGTTGAATATTATGTTAGATGACATGTGTTGGGTTAACGAAAACCTTGTGAAAGCTGGGTAATGAATCCCCGAGGGTCCAGATAAGACTTGGATTGAGTAAAATGTTGTTTAACACCCATGTATTTCAAAAATGATTTCAAAAAATTTTTATTTGATTTTTGGAAAGCTCGGGATTTCTTTGATATCAAAGTGGGGTGTTACACTTGCTGAAGGCAAATCCCATAATTTTTTCGCCAGAAGCACCAACAAACCGATGATCCGCTTCCAACTATTTGGTGCGATTTGACTCAGACTAAGTCTCCAGTCACGTAAGTACTCAGTAATTAAACGAGGGAGATGAAATCTCAAACCTGACCTTGGACTTTCGGCGAAATCCCGACACACCCCGGTAGAGGGCAGGTAATTCTTTCACCCGGGTATGGAGCAAAAAGCCTCACCGAGGGAAGAACCCTAAATCTTCTCGAGGCAGTACTACATCTGCATCAGTCAAAACACTAGGCTCACAGTAGGCATCCACCTCAAGACTCGGCTACACACAAACGGGCTGCCTCCAGTACTCTGACGTCTCAAGAGTGTTCCGTTCAACCTCTAAATCCCCTTCCACATTGTTTAGGCAGATATTGAGGCACTTTACATGTAACGGGTCCCGTCAATGATATTCGAGAAGCAACTCCATCTCCCCCGAGTTCACCAGGGTAACTACCATAATGTCTGAATCACTATTACTTGACGACGCCATCGGTCGACTTATAATGCGAAAAAATTCAAAATACAAATGCAAAATCAATGGAATACGAGTGCTTACCACACATAGTAACCACCAACTTTAGCAAACAGACGCGAAGAAATGACAGAGAATGAAAGCAATTGAGTGCAAAAATCAAAAGAAGAGATGAATGGAAGACAAAATGCATAAAGAGTAAAGGTAAAGATTGATCATAATAAAAATGGAGTACATATATGGAACCCTAAAAAGAACCGTTGAAAAATGTAGACGTGAATAACATATAAGATACAATATCCTTTTAACAATTTACGACATCAACAACCGTCTCTGAACGAATGCCTGTTAATACCGGGAGCCACCTTGTTGATATCTTTCTCAGTAATCACAGTGATGAGACCCTAACTAATTCAGCCATGACGACAGCTTGATACGTCAGGTGAGCATATCTCAGATTCAATGAAGAAATAACCGACGTCACTCCCCGATTGCAAGACAATAGGAAGACCAGATCTTTAAATCAACCGAGGTAATCTATGCAGCCAAAGTCATCGAACCGAGGTCCAAGGGAGTTAACTTCTAGCCCATAGTAAGGCGGTGTTATTTATCTAGTCATCATTACTGTTGGCCAGCTAGCCGACAACCACTTCCAAAAGTTACTATACATTAAATGTAATCACACCTACCTCGTACGATGAGTCAACTGCACTATAAATAGCAGAATTGATTATCAAAGAAGGGACTTGTCCCCTCTGAGACATGTACGAAATATTCAGAAAAACATCTTCGATTGTTCATACAACCGATGTCTTGGATCATCCAAACTTCAAGCAATAATACTATAGTTCTATATTTCAAATACAATAATGTTTAATTATCATTGTTAATTCCCCAACAACATCAGATACGTTCGGCCGAGGTAAGGCGGTGTACTGGTGGCGGCGGCTGTGTTCTGGTGGCTGAGTTGGTGTGGACTAGTGACAACCAGATTTGTGTGTGTGTGTGTGTGCAAGGTGTGTATGTGTAAAATGCGTGATTGTGTGTGTGAGTGTGTGAGAAATGAGATTAGGGTTGGTAGTTGGGGGTAGGTCCACTATGTGATTGGGATATATTATATAATGACTAAAATGCCCTTAGCAAGTGGTCAAATGCATATATTTGACCACCATATGACCACTTAATTACCAGATTGCCATAACATGTTTGACTGAGATTAATAAATTTTGACTTGATCATGACCATTAATTTGATAAATCCAATGGTTCATAATCATTCTTATTTCTTTCAATATTCATTTTTCTCATATGATCTATGTATCTCTCTCAATCTCTTTCTATATAAATATTAACCAATAAACAATATTTAATTTACCACATATACTGGCAAATATCTATTTGAGTGTAACAATTTTTATTTTTCATTAATATGAATACAACATATGAGAAAACAAATGAGTGATAAGGTAATGTATTTAGTGATCTATGATATATTAAGTGTTTTATGATAACTGAAATAACATTTATTAATTATAAAATATAATCAACTACGACGACAGGGGGAGACTGAAGCCAGAAGGGAATGAGATTCATTCTCACCAGATCTCTAAGGCTCGCATAGATAAATGGCGATCCAATTTCCTTTCCTCTGCTAGCAGATAGAGCTCACCTCGCGTAAGGTGGGCGTCTTCGCCTTGATTCTCTAGTTTATTAGAACCAAATCTTGAGATGAGATTGGCATAGAAAATTCCCTCAACTGGCTTAGGACTAGTTATCCCCGCGAACGCTAACCCAGACGCTTATTGCACGTTTTTTTGCATTGAGTTGATTGAGTTCGAAAAGTCCTCCTCCGTAACCATTGAAGAGCTGGGAAATTCTCCCATTTCATACTTTCAACCGAGTAGACTACTTCTTAGATTCCTGTGTTTTAAGCCCAGAGAATTTAAACAATTAGGCTATACATATTGACTAAAGGAGCTTTGTGAATTGTGTGATTCTTTCTCCTCATCATTCATCAAGTATCCCCATGATAATAATATATTATAGTAAGATAAGAAATCAGAAATTTGAGATACATTACTTTTTTTTTTAATGCATCCTCAAAAATAGCACTAGTGTAATTGGAACCTTAAGAACATACTCTTAGGAATATACTCTTAGGAACTGATCTTTATAGATACATATTTTAAACTTAATTGCTACAGTTTTTACAGACGAAAACATTAACTTTCGGAATCCATATCATCTCGATGCAAAGTGCTTGAAAGAACAAGCTTCTTTTATAATGTGATAATGCATTTCCTCAAGATTGAGTTAGCTCAAAGTTGGTCCTATAATTTGGCCACTTTCCAAAAAAACCACCCGATATTGACCACAGGTACCTTCGTATAAGTTAGGTTCTGCTCATAACGCAGCCTGTTAAAGTCTACTACGAGCCCCAGGAACCTGCACACAACCCCTCCACTCGAGGTGTACATATCTCCTCCATTCGAGGTGTGCAACGTGTCGTGCATCCGAAAAAGCTCCGATAGTAAGGCCAACCGTTAGGCTAGGTCATTGACTCGATCGAGACTCCACAAGGGCTTACATCGCACGACGGTGATTTTATTCTATACCCCGAACTAAGGTGTCTCACACCTCTATTCATACAAAAGGGGAAACTCGAATGGTACCATCAAGATACTCGTTCGATACCCAAAAAAAAAACAAAACGGCCCACCCATGGTGAGAAATCGCAAAATGCAATACACAACATGCACACACGACCTCAACAGGTCTTATAGTGCCTTGACCGTGAGATCATCGGTCAAACAATCGTGGTCAACATGTGGAGCTGAGTCTCAGCATGATGCTCGGGTCACACCGAAAACTTACCCACGATCTCGACACACCCGTGACTTCTTGCCAAAGTGATTGTCACGGTAACTGTGCAACCATGCACGCAGTATAGCCCCACTATGCTCATACTTACAACACACGATTCTACGACACAAACGTAGCCCCTCGTGGCTCCGTTTGTTGACAACACAAGTCCCCTATCTCGCCATCTCGAGAAATCCTCGCATAGGCATAGAAAACCTATCGACTATGCTTCCTTATCAAAACCATCAATCAAGGACGCAGTTCGGTGGAACTTGGAACTCTCGGTGGTCAAACCATTTGAATTTATAATGCACTGTCCTCCGAGAGGCAACACGCTCGCAGGCGCTGCATATGTGGGGCGCCAGGACGCTCACGTGCACCTGTTCAGAGACCAGCCACAAGGTCTAGGTTTGGCCGTAACACCGGCCTGGGGAGTTCCTGCGTTCGGTGATGGTGGCTGCAGCCTTCGTGTGAGTCAGCAGTCGGCCTTGAAGTTGGCCTAACGTCTCTCAGTACGAGCATGCCTGCTCAACCACCACTTCGCTGTTGGGACATATGAGGATCTCGATATGCACAAATCATGGACAAACATTCAACATAAACCTATGCGCATCGGATCTAAAGGTTTGATGAAGAAAACTTACTGCTTAAAATTTATGTAGATCTGGCTGGCCCGAATAGTTGACCGCAACTCATAACTTCTCGGAATCGAACAAACTTGACCAATCCGGAAAGCTGGCGTCACGGCGAAGTCAACAGCGTTGACCGATTGGAAAACTAACGATCCACGCGCTCTCACGCGCGCGAGTAAGATTTGACAGCTGCTCCCTTCAGGCGGCGCGTGCGGCGGCGGATGGCGGTGATATCGATGGCGATCTCTTCGTCTCGTCGTCCTGGTCGTCGTGGTATGGTCACTTGCTAGTTTTGGTCTCCGGTTTGGATGTATGATCGATTTGATTGGAATCCCATATATACCTTAAGATCTTCTACTGTATTCTCAAACAGCTATCTAGATCTTGTATCAGTGGAGCACAAGAAATAGAACTACTCATTGGAAGAGAGAGAAAGAGAGATGGACGTGTTTTCAAAGTTGTGGGATTATCTCTTGTCTTCCAAGAGCCTAATGCTGTATATATAGAGCTACAGTAGGGATCCTAAGGAGAATAGGAAAAGGGCTTCTAATATATTAATATTGTGGAGCAACCCCACAATTAATATATTAATAATATAAAAGTCCACCACAATAATATTATTGCACTCCTCTCACCTATCCCAAATTACATTCTAGACTCCTTATTATAATTATTCGATTTACCTCTCCTTGTTTAAGATATAATGTCCATTAATTAATTCGATCACTAATAATTAAGAATTAATTAATATATTATATTACCGAAGCTAGCGCTCGCTCATAGCATTCATAGTATGCCGGAATAAATCCACCTGCAGGGTTTAGCGTAATATTCCTTCATGAACGCACTTCGGGGACATCATCATACTAACGCACATGGTTGTTGGGTTCTATTAGGAACGTCAAACAACATGCACAGTATTGAACTTTATCAAAA